AGCTGTGAGTGAGGCTCACACAAGGCCATGAACTTGAGGGCATAGGCCTGGACTCAGGGGCTGCAGCTGCCAGGGACCTTGAGGGCTCTCTCAGAGAGAGAGAGAGCCTGAGAGATCTGAGCTGAGTTCAGGGCAAGGTCACTTGCTCAAGAAGTGACCTTGATGTGTGTGATGTCTCCCTACTTGGGAATTCATCGTGGAAGCTCCCTTGGGCAAGACTCCTTGTGTTGGGCTGGCTTTGCCAGAGCCCCGTATGAGCAGTCCAAGGAAGGTCTAGAAGATAGAAGAGTCACCTCCTCCTAGGAGCCCCCCCCCGTGCCCCTACCCCATGCCAGCACCTAAACCTCACTATTTCCTTCTTATCATTCATCACTCTTGCTCACCATATTGCTTGTGCATGAGCATCCTTGCTTCTGGTCCAGCAGCACACGCACTGTTGGGTGCAGGGAACAGTAGCAGTCAAGGCTGACTGACTCAGTGCCCAAGGATGGGTCAGAGAGGCAGAGGGGAGACCCAAGAAAGCAGTGAAGCAATGGGGAACCAGAAAAAACAGATGGGGAGCAATCTGCAGAGGTGGGAGTGAGCAAGGGGCCAGCTAGACCTAGCAGGATGGGAAGGCCTAGACGGCCCCAGAAGGAGGCTGGCAGAGGGTTCCTGGAGCTCTGGCCTGGCTACTCTAACCAGGACCCAGAGGCTCATGAGGCCAGCAGCTGGGTGGGCTGAAGGTCAAGGGGGACTCTCATTGCTGCCACCTCCGTAGAAGGTCCCCTATGATCCCCTGGGAGCCCTCGCCCACTGGGCCACCTCCCGGACTCCCAGGCACTGCCTTCCAGAGACTTGAACCAAAGGCAGCCTTTTGTGCCTAAATGGAATCAGTGGCTTAAAGCCTGACCTCTGAGTTCACTCTGCTTCTCTCCTGGTCCTTGCCCTCCACCTTTGAAGCCAGGGCACGAACAGCTATAAGCCAGCTGTGGGAGGACAAGCTGCAGATGACTCCAGGCCCTTCTCCACACATAGGCCTACAGGGTGGCAACGGACTTAGATTGCCTCACCTGGGGTGCCCCCCACCCACAGCCGCTCACCAGCCCTGCCTTCCCCTGTTCTCAGCTCCCTGCCTTTTTCCCTACACCCCCCACCTTCCACCCTGCTACCATCAAGCACCTACTCAGCACTCTGGGGCCCCAGGCTGGGCACTGGGAAGTGGGTTGGAGTAGCAGTGACCCAACAAGGGCTAAGTGAGGGCTGGCTGCTCAAAGCAGGCACCTACCATTGTGGCCTAGGGGCTTACCAGGGAAACCTGAGCCAGCCACTGGGCTCCTTTTCAGGTCAAGTTCTTGGCTCCTTCTAACAGAAGAAGGACCTTCTGTGAAGAGGCCTGCAGAAGGCAGGGTTCTGTGCTGAGGGGCTAGCCAGGTCCAGCAGGATCACCCAAGCCTCTGCAGCCCTTTGGGAGAAGTATCCGGGGTGGGAATTTGGATCCTGTTCAGTGATGTCCGAGAGGTGCAGGGCATGCTGGGAAGCAGCCCTGGTCACCCTCAGTCTCATGCTGATGGGGGCAGATTCTTCCTCCCTCTGCTTATCGGTCAACGCTGTCAGCCACTCATTCTTGTAGAGCTGAGACAGCTGCACACTGGCCTCCTCTGGAGCCTGGGGCCTCAGGAAATGCCTTCTCTTCCTTCCTGCCTTGCTCCCCATGCCTGCCCTCCCCTACCTCCTTCCAACCGTGCCTTCTGGCTTCCCACTAGCCAGCAAGGACGTGCAGTTCCCAGCGTGCATCAGCCGGGGTCCAGGTTGTTCCGGTGCTGCGGAGAACTGAGGCCTGGGGAGGAGAAGGGAGGGGGGAGGGGAGCCCAGGACTGAGGTGCTGCCTGGTTAGTCTGGGAGTGGCCCCCAAATTAGAGGGCCAGGCCGAGTGACTCAGTGGGCCTTGGGCCGGGCATGCAGTCATGGCTTATTGCAGACTGCAAACCACAGACACGAGATCCTTCCAGGCACGAGAACCATATTTACAGAAATATTGCCCCGGATGCGTCCCCCAACAATGGGGAAGATCTCCAAGGGGCACATATGCCCCTTGCAGGGTGCCACCTCATCACCAACCCCTGACTCCCTCCAGGAACATGCCAGGCTGACAGCCTACTATGAGTGCTGTGCAGGGGAGACTGAGGCCGGCACATCACTAGGCCTTCCCATCTAATTTTGGTGACATCCCTCCGGGTCCCCACACCTTCTGTACCTTGCTATGTGCTCTTCCTTCTACTGCCAACACATCCCTCTCCCTTACTCCTCTGCTTCAAGTTGCCTCCTCCAGGAAGCCTTCCTGAGACTCTGGTGCTGTGTGCAGCTCTGGCATCCCAGCCTCCAGAGCAGTGAGTGCATGGTGCAACAGAGGGCTGGCTGGGGGCACAGGGCTAGGTGCAGCTCCTGGGGCAATGGGCATGCCTTACATGTTTTTTCCCCACTTTTTAAACAGTTTTATTGCTATATAATCCACATATTATATATTTCACCTGTTTTAAATGTATAATTCAATAAGTTTTTATCTAGTATATTTATAGAGTGTACATCACCACAGTCAGTTTTAGAACATTTTTATCGGTGCAAAAAGAAAACTCATGCCAGCCCTGGCTGGGTGGCTCAGCGGATTGAGCGTGGGCCTGCAAACCAGGGGGTCTCTGGTTTGCTTCCGGGTCAGGGTACATGCCTGGGTTTTGAGCTGGATCCCCAGCAAGGGGTGTGTGGGAGGCAGTCACACATGAATGTTTCTCTCCTTCTCTTTCTCCTTCCCTTCCCCTCTCTCTAAAGAGAAATAAGTAAATAAGTCTTTAACAAACAAAGAAAAGAAAACTCATGCCTTTTAGCTCTCACCCTTCCATTCCCCTGGCCCTCAGAGACCACTCATGAACTTTCTGTCCCTATAGACGTGCACATTCTGAACATTTCATGGGGAATCATGTCATTGGTGGTCTTTTGTGACAGGCTTCTTTCATGCAGCAGAATGTTTTCTACGGGTTTTTGAGCCTCCTTCTCCAAAACGCCACGACTGGGGATGCTGAAGCCTCCCCTACACGAGCCTCACAATATTAGTCTTTATTACTGCCAGAGATGTTGGAATATATCTTCAATAAACAGTGAAAAACACAAGCAAACAAGCAGACAAACTGACTGGCATTGTCCAGAAGGGCATGTGTTCTCTCTAATCTCCTGGTGTCAAACTTTGGCAATAGTCTTGCCCACAAAAATAAGAAGGAGCCTCAGCTCCCAGCTCAGAGCCTCCTTTTCCCACGTCTCCCTTCTCCATGACCCAACCTGGAAGCTTCTTGCAGGCAGGCACCACAGCTTGGTCAGGACACCATGTATTCCAAGTCCTAGTCGGGACCCCTGAACAAGGTTCAGAGGTACAAGGTACCTGGAAGGGGGTCTGCCTGGAGATGTGGCTGGTACGAGGAAGGGGGTCTGGGTCCAGCCACATCTCCAGACAGAACCTTCTGAATCCCACCTGTATGCGGGCCCTGGTCTGAGCACTGAATAACTAAATAACAGCTGACCAGATGGGCAGAACTCTCAGACCTCACCCTTGTTCTCCACCCATTGGACCCGCCTTTCCTTGGCCTCCCCGTGGCCTCTGCCTGCTCAGCTTTTCCTCTCTATATGCACTTTTCTCTTTCAGTCTTGGCAGAGTTTTGTCCTGCCTTGTTCACCTGCCTTAGTGTCTTCCCCTCTCAGCCTCCAAGTCTCCTGTGCAGATCTCAGCGTCACTCCTTACTTCCGTGTCCCACTCCCTCTAAACCCTCACCTTTGTCTCCTGGGAGCTGCTCCTGCGGGAGTCTCCCTCCATGCAGTGTCAGCTTGTGACAGAGGCTGGCTCTAGCCTGGCCCCGCTGCATGCTGGGTACATGAGTCAGGAGAAGCATGGGATCCCACTGAACAGGGAGGCCTTATACTCTGGATGCAGGTGGAGCTGGGCTCGCATGAGCCCTCAGGAAGTGGTCGAGCTTCCAGTGATTACGTGGGTGTCAATGACAGCCTCTTCCTGGGATTCTTGGCTGGCTGGCCCAGTTAGCAAGTGGCCAGCACAGAGCTCAAGCCCTAAGGAAATGCCCACCCACAGAGCAGTTATCACATCCTAGGGGACCATCACAGATTGAGCAAAAGGATGACTCGACAGGCTCCTTCTCTCTGAATCAGCTTTCCCACTCAGCTTCTCTGAGCTCCAGGGCAGGCAACCTAGGGAGGATCCCCCGAATCTGTGCTGCTCCCCTGCCACTCCCAGCTGACTCCCACCCTCAGATCACACGGAGAGGACCAGTTGCTCTTTTCTAGGAGAAAAGGAACTCCGGAGTGTGTGGGGGTGGGCTGGGTGTTTCCAGGGTTCCCAGAAGCCTAGATGGATCAAGCTTTTCCAGAAATCCGCAATGGTTGCCTCCCTGATCCCAGAGAACCACCTCCTTGTTCAGTCCTAGGCTGGCACAGGTTCTGGGCGGGCTCAGGACAGAATCCCAGGGCCACTCACTGGATTAGCAACCAGAGGCCGCCTCCCTCTCAATGCTCTTTCATTTCTGCCCTCTTGCCTTCCTCTGCCCAGCTCACTGCCAGAAAGCCAGTTCCCGCCTCTCTCTGGGCCTCAGTGTCCCCATCCGGGCAGTAGAAAGTTTGACTCTCTGAGGCTATGCCTGCCCAGGGACGCTAAGGGTCCTCGTGTGAGTGGGAGCGTGTGCCCCCTCACTGTGTGCTTGGGGCAAGAAGAGGGGGTGCTGGAGGTGGGTGTGTGAGCAGGAGCGGTGAGTGGGTGCAGCTAGCCCAGCCGTCTACAAGAAAATTGCTCCCTTTGAAGCTGCCAGGGGGGCTGAGAAGCCTGCCCCCCTCCTTCCCTTCCTCTCTCCCTCTCTCTCTCCTTCCCTTCCCAGCCCCACCAGCCCCCTCCCTCCTTTCCTCCCTCCCCGCCCCCTCCCCCGGTCGGCCCGCCCGCCCGCCCAGCCTTTAGCCTCCCTCCCACCGCCTCTGTCTCCCTCTCTCCACTAACTGCCCAGGAGTGAGCAGCTGCTCTAGGCGGCCCAACAGACAGACAAGACAGACGCAAGGACTGCCCGACACCCAAGCCTGCCAACTAACCAGCCTGCACCCAGCGCTTCCCTTTCCCAGGTAGGACACCCACACCAGCCGCTCACTGTCCCCACACCCCACGCTAGCCTTCAGCTGCCCTTGATGTCTCATCTCTGACTCTGTTGCCCCCTCACCATTCTCAATCAGTCCCAGACCCTGACCCTGCTGCCCCCATGTCACCCCTCCACGTCCTTATCTTTCTGCCTGCTGCCCCCTTACCACCCTCTCCTGCCCCCAGTGCGGATGCCCAGGGCACTGCTGTAAGCTGTTGGTTCACGCCCCATGGTCGCCACCCTGTGGCACCGTTGGTCCTTGTTCAGTTTCTGCCTCTGTTCCCATCCCTCTTCCAGGTGCCTTCTCCTCTCCCCTTTGATTTCACTCAGCTCAGCTCCATGTCTGTTTTCTCTGCTCCATCTTGGGGTTGCTCCCCTTGGCTACTGCCCCAGGACATCACCAAGGCATGGCTGGGTGGCTGGCAGGCACCCCAGCTCCACCAATAGCCCTCTGCCTTTGCTGCAAGGCCCTGGGTGCACCCTGCACTCTCATCAGCCTCTCTCCCTCTCTCTCTCTCTCTCTCTCTCTCTCTCTCTCTCTCTCTCTCTGCATTCTACTGTGGCAGGCAAGCCTACTCACTCAGGGTTTTTTGCCTGACCCAGGTCGGGAGGACCTCTGGGCCTCTGCCTGAGCTCTGGCCAAGGAGCCGTCCCCATTGTCCAGGACCAGTCCTTGGCAGGGGCTCAGAGACTTGGTTCTCTAGGCACGCCCGAGGCACCCTGCCCAGATATTCCTCGCTTACCCATGGGCTAATGCCCTGCCTCTGTCTCCTTCTGGGCGAAGGGTGGGTCCACGGAGCCCTGGCCTCAAGCACCCTGAGCGGGGCTGCCTGGGTGGCTCAGCCCCATCTCCCCAGAACCTCATCGGATTGGGGCTCAGAATTGGCGTGGGGCAGAAAGAAACTCAGGCAACTATGCCATGCTACCCTGGGCAGGCCTGGCTTGGGGCCCTGTAAGGTTTCTGGGGACACCGGGTAAATGTTAGGCCACAGAGCCACTTCCAAGCCGGGACACCATCACCCCAAGAGGGGTGCATTTAAGGATGGGTGAACTTCAATAGCGCCCTGACTAGATGCCCTGTTCCCCAAAGGCAGCCCAGACACTGGAGCATGGGGAGTCTTTCAAAGGGAGAAAGAGCCCCAGGTCTCAAGCAAAGTGTAGCTGCAATGTTGCCCCCAGGGCCCTTTGGGTGGGGAGGAGTGGCTTCTGGTTGTCCCATCCCCCACCATTCCCATCCATTGTACAGAGGGGGCAACTAAGGGCCTGAGAGGGGCAAGAACCTGCTCACGATTGCACAGCCATTCAAGGGCAGAGGTGAAGTCAGGACCCAGGGGTTCTAACAGACAAATGTGAGCTATATTGACCCCATACCGCCCAGGGAATCATCAAAGTTATTTGAATGTTGAGGACAGTAGCCTGTGGTCAACTCTAGTGCGAGATGACGGGAGTGAGAGGTAGCAAGGCCACGGGCCACTGTCTTTCCTGCGGGCTCCCAAAATGGCTGGCATGTAGAGGGGCCTGGCAAGGGACTCAGGAGAGGAAGAAGGGGAAAGAGGGCTCTCTGGGTGTGGCCTTGAGTGCCCTGGAAGGTTGGGGGATGGGAGTACCCCCCTTGCCGCACCTTAGGCTGGATTGGGGTCTGGGCACTGATTAGTGAGGGCTGCTGAGCAGAGCACAAGGCCCAGTGTCCCCCCGGGCAGGGCGGTGGGTGGCATCAAGTTGGGGCAGAGCTCAGCCAGGCCAGGGAGATTCATTGTTCTTGAACCATCTTCGGAAGGGGTCACTCAGGTTGCAGATTCAGCCCCATCTGTCCCCAGGAGGCTCCTGCCTCGGTGCCCTCACCCCTCCCTGGCCTGCCAGCTCACCACCCCGAGAGCTTGATTGGGACTAAGACAAGCCAGAGATGCTCCGGCCTTCCTCAGTGCCAATCCCCACAAAAAAAAAAAAAAAAAAAAAAATGGTTCTCGGGAATCCGTATCCAGGAGTGCAAGTTCATGCAGAGTGAGAATACATGCACGAGACTACATTTGTGCAGGCGAGTGTGTTCTGGAAACATGCTGCTGCCTGTGCCGCCTGCACCCTGGGTGAGCTGGTGCTGGGGCAGAGGTACCTTCATGTGGCGCTTGCCTGTGTCTGGCTCCCGTGGCCAGCATGAGTGAGCCTGTGAGGGCAGGTCTGTGTGGGTGCATTAAAAGGAAGGCACAGAAGCTGCCGCCAGGCTGCGGGGGCCAGGCCGCAGGAGCCGAGGCTGGGAGCCAGGGAGCAGAGAGGGCTCCCATAGCCAGCCAGCCGCCGAGTGGTTGCCCTGGCCTGCCTGCTCACTGGTCCACCTTCAAGCCCCAAGGACCCAGGTTCCAGTGGGCACTGACCATCCACTGCTTTTTGCTCTGCCTGCCCTGGAGCAGAGACCAGGGTCCTCATTTAGTAGATGGGGAGAGTCTGGGGTCCAGGCCTTTGCCAGTGGGTCTGGTGGCAGTTCTGTGTGAGCCCATTTTAGGGACCCAGAAAGTAGGGGTGCCAACCCTCTGACCATTACCCTGGGTGATCTCCGAACATCGGCCCAGATTTCTCCCCTGCCCCACAGGTAGTCCTGGCCCAGTGGAAGAGCGTGAACAGGGAAGGATAGGAGGAAAGTGGGTATTTGTAAGACAGAGTTTCCTTTCTTTTTATTAAAAAATGTATTTTTAAAGATTTTATTTATTTACTTTAGAGAGGGGAGGGGAGGGGAAAGAGGGAGAGAAACATCCATGTGTGGTTGCCTCTGGCATGTGCCCCCCCCCACCAGGGACCTGGCCCGGAACCCAGGCATGTGCCCTGACTGGGAATCGAACCGGCGACCCTGTGATTCTCAGGCTGGCACTCAATCCACTGAGCCACACCAGCCAGGGCCAGAGTTTCCTTTCTTCAGCAAGATACCGCAGCTACTCAAGACCACAGTGTCCCTTCCAGCTCCAGCATCAAGTCCCCAGAGGAGGGAGTTGTAATGAGCCTGGACGTGAGGGTTCATGTGAAAAGCAAGTAAGCCTTTCCAAGGGGGCTTCCCTTCTCTCCCACCAACACCCTGGTCTCCGAAGCCCCACCCACTGGGCCACTGAGCTGCTGGTCCTGCAGGTGGCACACCCAGGGCCCCTCACCAACCTCGTCCATCCTGATAGTTGAAGAGGTCTTCCCAGACCCACCAACACTTCACCCTACTCCTCTTGACCAGGCACCCAGAGCAGAGGAGCTTGGTTTCTGCCCCGAGCTACTCTCCCCCACGCCTATTGGCCCTGCTGGTGGGAGGGAAAAAAAATCGAGGGGCTGGGAGGTGACTGGCTCTCCAGAGTGCCCTGCAGTGAGCCTCGTGGTAGAATAAAGCCCTGCTTCCTCTGAAGGCGGGCAGACCCCAACCCACTAGCTCTGCCCGCTCCCTTCCTGTCCTTTTTACTCACACATTGGGCCACCCACAGAAAGGACCCTTTCTGTAAAGCCCAATTTAGAGGGGGCTATGCTGGGGGAACAGGGGCATGTCTACTCAGACCTGGCCAGGCCTGAGGCCCACTGAGAGTCACTGGCCAGCCCCATGACTGGGCCCTTCTCCACCCTTTCAGATCAGCTCCCCGCCTTCCAAATGGGAGGTGCCGGGGTAAAGGCCCTTCCTCCACTTACAGCACACAGCCCAAGAGTCCCAGAGCATTCTTCACTCCCCACTGGGACTCCAGGCTTCTAGAAGCCACCCCAGCCCTACCCTGTTTAGCTTATCCACTTCCGCCCCATCCTCTCGACTCCTAGCACAGAGCCCACCAGCCTCAGCTCTTCCAGATATTGCCCAGCTCAACTCTCAGCCTGCAGCACAGCACTGACATTGTCAGCCTCGCTGACATTCCTGAGCCCGGTGAAGGTATAAGGACTCAGATGACTCACATCTGCCCCCTCCCTGTGGTGACATATCTCTCAGGTTTAGGGGGAGGTGGGCTGAGAGGGACCCCAGATTCTGTGTAACTCTGAACTCACCCTTGCTTCACCCCCACCAACTGCTTCTGGGAGGTCAGATGACCCAAGGGGATAGAGCAGTCAGAGACCCTGTGGCTGCAAGATCGAAGATTTGGGGAAGAGAAGTCGGGCTTGAAGGAGAAGGGCAAAAGGCAGAGAGAGGCTGGCTCTGGCAACCCTGTCCCTGGAGACAGGGGAAGTCCTGGAGGCAGAGGAAAGTGTGACTTTGATACTCTCTGAAGTCCAAGTCTCAGCTCAACCTCCATTATGGTCCCCCGGGCCTTAGAGGCTACCAGCTACAAAGATGCCTGTAGCTTGGGAGCCCTAGAAGGAGCTGAAAGTGAACAGGTCCTGGAGCCTCTAGGCTAGCTGACAAGGGCTGAATCCCATCCCAGCCAAAGCCCCTGGAAGAGAGCTGGGACCTGAGGCAAGAAAGGGGCTGCAGTAAACTCTGAGCCCAGGAAAGAAAGGGGCTATAGCGCCTCCCTCCAGGGTGCCTGGCAACTCTCCTGCCCTGGGAACCAGGCCAAGCTCCCTTGCCTTGGCCTGGCTTAATAAGGAAATGAGACAGGCAGGGCCCCAGGCTCTGGTAGCCAGGCTGAGAACATAGCCCTGGGGGGGGTCTGGCACCTGTTGGGACCTAAAATGCACCGGGAAACTTCCCTGGCCTGCCGGCCAGATGGCCTTTACAGGCAACTTCCTTGCAGATGGAGGCAGAGCTGGCCTGGTGGATATACTTGGGTCAAAACAGTGCCACCAGACCCATCAGTGAAAGGGGTAGGCCCCTTGGGCTGTGGGGAGCTATTGATGGTGGCAGGCAGAGAAAGGTGCTATGTTCCCAGAGGATTCATGATGCAAGCGTGGGGGCGCAAGACCCACAGATCAGGGCCGTGCTTTCCAACAGCCTCACTTCCCAGCCGGGGTGAGGAAGCTGCCAAGGACTCTTTTCCAGGGACCCCAGGGGCTGGTCTAGCTCAGAAAGCGTGGGATCTTGTGGCTTTGGGGCTTGTAGCAAAGTCTGTGATCAATGGAAGAGGGTGGGGCCAGACCCATGGACAGTAGACAGACAGATGGCGGAGTCCCAGCTCTACCATTTCCTCAACATGTGGCCTTGGGCAAGAGTTTTGGGCAAACCCTTGTGCTTCCTTCTTATGGTCATTGGAAAATCATTTGAGTTCCCTGTCCCGCCGCGGGAGGTGATAACATCCTCCCTCTTCCTCAAAGATTGTAGAACATGGTGAAGAGTTCAAGATTTCTTCATTGAGTGGGAGGATGAAGAAAGGCACACAGCCTAGGTACACAAGGACCAGAAACTCAGAACCCCCAGCTGACCCAGGTCATCTGCTGCCCAACCCCTAGCGTGAGAGAAGGCCAGCAGTTCGACCCTCACACACTCCAGAGGTTTCCCGGCAGGGTGGGGGCAGGCATGGATGGCTCTCCTGCATATTGTAGGGACGGAAGTCTGGCTTGGCCAGCACCAGCTGCCTCACCACCTTCCTGGTACCAGCCCATTGCTGGTTCCCTACAGCCTCTGATACCCATGTCTAAGTTGAGTCTGTCCCTGAAGACCCAGCTCTGCCCAGTCACCTCAGTGGCAGGGCCACAGAAGCCACACTTGAGCATCTGCACCCCCTTGTAGCCTGGAGGGCATGCTGAGGCAACCCTGCTGGCTTCAGAGTTGCCTGGGTGCAGACACAGACAGGGTAGGCTTTAGGGTCCAAACCCTCCCCACTCCAGCTACCAGCCCTTCACACGATCACTCCCACACACACACATGTGGGCTTTAGCAGACCCATGGGTGGTGCATGTCCCCTCTCTCTGGTTGACATCCAAGTGCAGAGTAGAGCTTTCAGGGGGCCAGTGGGCTCAGGCCTGAGGAGGCGATAGGGAGCAGCCGAGTAGAGTCAGCCCGTGCAGCACCGTGCCTCTGGTCTGCTGATTGAAGCTGGGCCAGGAGGATTTGGTAAAAAGGGTTGGGGGCAGAAGGCCCCTGAGTCACCTGTCTCTGTCACCCTACCCCATACACTCAGTCCCAGGGACTGACAGGGCTGAGTGGAAGGTGGCACGAGTGTCAGAGCTCAGATCGAGTGGCTCAGTGGGGCCAGACACCTCAGGCTGAGGCCCAGGGACAGCGCCTGGCGTCTACAACTTGGCAGTTGTGAGCCACACATCTGCCGGCAAGCTCCCAGGGCATGCCAGACCTCAAGTCCTGCTCCCGCCACCCTTGGCCTGGCCTGAATGCCTGGCATGGCCGCTCCATGTTCTCAGAGGCTGCCAATGTGTCTTGTTTGGCTGTGTCCTGGAGCAATCCTTCTCGGAGGACTGCTCTGACTTTCAGAGGGCCAGACAAGAAGGGCCCTATTGGGTCGGAGGCTCAGGCTCCAGGAAGCCCAGCCTCTTCTCTCATTCACACCTGTGGGCGCCAGGCCTGAGGCCTCACGGCCATTACAACTTCTTTCCTTTGCTCTGAGGAGGTGGAGGTCCAGTGAACTCAGATCACACTTCGCTGGGGTTGAGGCCCTCCCTCAGGTCCTTGGGGACATGCCTGGGGAGGCCAATGAAGGGAAACTGAAGCCCAAAGGCTCAGGTAGTATGGGGAGGTGGCATTGGGGTGACTTGCTGTGGGTCTCCCATCATCTGTCCATGAGGAGCTCCCACCTCCTGGGCTGTGGCCCTCCTGCCTCCAACATGTGTGCGTTCCTGAAGGGTGGGGGTCCGTGTGAAGCAGTGGAAAGAAGGTAGGGCCATGCTTAAACTAGGGCATCTGTGCCTGTCCACAGCCTGACAGTCCCCCACCCTGATCATCACCAGCCTCAAACTTCTCCTCCCAGGCTGTCTGCACTGTCCACGCTGAGCCAGCCACCCGGAGACCCCATCGCCCCCACTGCTCAGAGGCAAGGCTGAGGTCTGAAAGCTCAGGGCCTGCAGTTGGACCCCGTCTCAGGCTGACTGTGATGGCAGAAAATCTGTTTCTCTTCCTAGGCCTCAGTTTTCTCTTCCATGAAATGGAGATAGCAATTGTGCTAGATGCAGGGAAGCCTTACTGCATCCCCTCGAGGCCCCTTCCTAGCTCTTTCTGGCTCTGCCGGGGTCTCTCGCTGCCTCTTGCTGGCTCATCCAGCTAGCCCCCTCCCCCTGCATAGTTCTGGCTGAGTCTTGTGCCAGTTCCTCAAGGGGAAATGAGGGCTGTGCTGGGAAACCCGCCCAGCCCCTACCCCGCCAGCCTCCCCACTGCCTGGGCCCAGCCAGGAACCGGGGAGAACCAGCCAAACCTTGTCCTCTGCCTCTGTCACGAGGCCCTGGTATAGGGCCTCCAAGCCCTCAGCCTCCCTTCCCCTCAGAGTGAGTCTGCGCCGCAGCCATCAGACACGGTTGCTTTGAGCTGGCCCATCCCCCTAGTGCAAGTCCTGCGAGACCACCTGGTTGGCCTTCCCAGAGCCTGTCCATCCTCTGCCCTAGTGGAGGGGCCAGACATCAAGGCAGATATTCTCTGAGGAGATCCCCAGCCCTCTCCAGCTCCAGCAGGCTGCCCAGGGCCTGTCTGCACCCACCTCTCCCCACAGTCTCTCCTGGGTCTGGCCAGACCACCATACCGGACCCCTGCCTGTTCAGGTGGACTATAGATCCCAGAGAATTCCAAGGTTCCTTCTGGGCATTCCAGCCCTGACTCATCCCTTCTGTGAGGTAGTGGCTTTGGCAGGGGTGCCAGACAAAGCGGGGAGAAGTCTCCTCCCTCTTTTCTATTCCATCTTGCTCTCCTACCTTCATCCTCCCCTTCCTGTTCTCTCCTACTGCTCCTCCACCTCCCGGCCCTGGGCATCCAGTGGCATCTGGGCAAGGGCCCTGTGCAGTGGAAGCAGGCACAGGAGACCTAGGCCTACGGTGCTCTGCCCTGAGACTTGCAAACTTGGGGAAAGAAGGAGGGACCCGCTGTCCAGGTAGGCAAACCCCAGGCCTTCTCCCTACCTTTTGCCAAGGCCCTCTGGGGGCCCCCTGATGTCTGCATGGTCAGCCTGGGGCTGGTAGAACCTGTGACATTATCAAAGAAGCCAGGGAAGCTGGATGCTGCCTTAGTGTGGGGGACCCTCACTTCGCTGTGTGACCTGGGGTAGGCAGGCAGTTTCTCTGAACCTGTCACTGGGGGCCATGGCTCAGGAGGGCTGTTGGAACCCACTGGGGCTGCTCTGAGGCTGGCTCAGCAGCCCCTGGGCTCCTGCCATCCCCTCTAGCAGCTCAGTCCTCAGTGATGGTGGGAGCCAAAGCAGGCCATATGACCTCTTGGTGGGGGTGGCTTCAGGAGGAGTGCAGGAGGGGACAGCAAGACGGGGATGAATGAGAATCTGAGGGGCAGAGCTGTGTGCACAGACGTGGAGGAGGCCTCAGGCCCCACCTGGTAGCCAGCCCAGCCGCACCCCGATGGGGCCTGCCTAGGAGAGTGGCAGGCAGGGCCAAGCTGCTCCAAAAGCGCTGGCCTAGAGTGGGCAGAGCCCTCCACCCTCAGTGTCTCCCTTCCACCTCTGAAGCTAGCAGCCAGGTTCAGGGGGCTCACCTAGCCCCACCGATGTCCCAAACAACCCCTCCCCTGGACAAGATGGGCCCCAAGTGAGGGCCTCCCTGGGGTGGGACCAGTTTGGATCTGCAGGAGGCCCTGGCAATCAGCTGGACTCCCTGCCCAGAGATGCACCCAGGGCAGCCTTCTGCCCCCCGCCCCAAACCTATGAGGCAAACAGGGTGCACACTCTTATTCCTGTTTAACAGATAGGGAAAAATGAGGCTGGGACTTTCCCTGGAAATCCTCATAGGTGGGGGGTGATGGGAGGGGCACGGGCTCTGGCTCTTCCCTGTACAGAGCTTTTGGCCAGAGGAGCCTCTGGCTGGAAGGCAGCCTCCGCTGGAGGAGGAAGGGGGCAGGCTGATGTGGGTGCCAGGGGCAGGCTCAGGCAGAGAGTCTTCCCCCACCTCCACCTTGCTGCCCAGCGTGGGGGGCCTCCAGACAAGCCTGACCCTGCCCCGCCACTTTGAGGGAAGGCCGCTCCCCTGAGGGGGGGCAGTCAGCTCTCCAGAAGGCTGGACCTTGGCAGAAGGAAGGTGGGAGCCCCAGGGCCCAGCCGGGGGAAGACCTGTGGGCCAGGGGAGGAAGCCAAGGTCCCAGGAAGCAGTGGGGAAGTGAATGGGGGGCTGTGCCCTCTCCACCTCTGTAATTTCTCTCATGGCTTTGGAGGACGCCCTTCTCTTTCTCCATTTTGCCTCTGGAACTAACCCAGGTCTTTGCCCAGTGCGCCCAGCCTGGCGCCTTGGCCTCTTGACTTTCTTAGAAAAAAATGTGAGTATGTTGCAAGGTGGGGGGCTCAGGGAGGAAAGGAAGCGACTCATAATCCCCTAACTCAATCCTGACTGCCCACGTTGCCTTGAACATGTGGGATTGGCCCAGGCCACAGCGGTATCTTCAAAGCATGCGGAGGGCAAATAATTGGGTTTCTTTGTCTGCCTCCTCCACTTGCCTCACTGACCCCCCAGGCAGCTGCCAGCTGACTCAGTGCGGTGTGTGCACGTGGGGGGTGGTGCTGCAGACTCCGTAATGGGAAGACACTGCATTTGCCACTGAAGTCAGGTCCTGCCTGGGAGCAGAGGGGAGCAGGAAGAGGTGCCCCTGTCCTGCCAGGTATCTCCTGGCTGCCCACGCTTCCTGTCTCTGCCACCGCGGCCCCAGTGATGGATGGGGGACATGGTGCTAACCCAGGAAGAACCCCAGTTCCTGGTGTTGGGGAGATGACCAGGAAAGGGCTGAGAGGATAAATGTGAGTTACTGGGCAGGCCCCCCTGACGGCCCCTCCTCACCCTGGCCTTCTAGGTATGCCTACCATGTGGCCCCTCTGGCTCCTTGCGCCCCTGCTGGCCCTGAGCCAGGCCCTGCCCTTTGAACAGAAGGGCTTCTGGGACTTCACGCTGGACGATGGGCTGCCCATGCTCAATGATGAGGAAGCTTCGGGTGCCGACACGACCTCGGGAGTCCCAGACCTCGACTCCCTCCCGCCCACCTTCAGCGCCATGTGTCCTTTCGGCTGCCACTGCCACCTGCGGGTTGTTCAGTGCTCTGACCTGGGTCAGTCCTGGGGCTGTGGTGGGAGGGGTGTGTGGAGGCACAGGCGCACGCAGCCTGAGCGCCCCTATCAAGGGGACACACATGTCTGTCCTGTGGTATGGGCATGGAAGGAGGGGAGCAGAGATGGGGTGACCCTGAGCAGGCTTGGGGATCCTGATCTCAGTATGGGAAGGTGTCCAGTTGTCTGGTTGCAAGTGAATGGGGAGTGAGAAGAGCCTCGGTCTGCCAGCTCCAGAGCTTCTGCCTGGCTGTGGGGGAGTCCCTGTGTGCACGTCTGTTTGTCTGTGTCCCTGTACTCTGAGCCTCTCCGGGCTTGTGACCTGGGCTCACATTGGTGATGGTGGTGCCCCCAGGTCTGAAGGCTGTGCCCAAGGAGATTTCACCTGACACCACATTGCTGGACCTGCAAAACAACGACATCACCGAGCTCCGCAAGGATGACTTCAAAGGCCTCCAGCACCTCTACGTAAGCCTGCCCTGGCCCTTTCAAGGGGCTGAGAAGACGGGTGGTCTGCAGCTGGGGGGGGGGGGTCAGGTCCAGATAGGTGTGTGCACACACTAGTAGAGTGTGAGAGGGGACAGGGGCCCACGGAGTCCTGAGAGAAGTCTGGGGGTGGGCATTGAGGAAGTGCCAAGGGTGAGGGTCACGTGTGTGGGTGTCAGCAACTATAAGTGCAGGACAAGATCACTCAGGATCACTTAATTCCCTTTCAGCTGGAAATGTTGTTTATTTGATTGGTTTTTCCCAAGAATATATTGCATCGTAGCCAGGGTGCAAGTGGGGAAACTGAGGCTCAGGGAAGCGCTGGGCTGTGCTGGGCAGTAGTGGCATCTCCAGGCCTGAGTGCTAGCTCCCAACTCTGCAACATGCCCACGAGCAGATGGGTCTCTTTGAGGCCCAGCTGTGAAGTCCCAGTGATCTCCAGCTCAGGTGGCAGAGGGGTGAGAGAGGAGAGGGCAGGGCGGGCTGGGGAGCCAGCGCCTTCACCTCCAACGCCCACCCCACAGGCCCTTGTCCTGGTGAACAACAAGATCTCAAAGATACACGAGAAGGCTTTCAGCCCTCTGCGGAAGCTGCAGAAGCTCTATATCTCCAAGAACCACCTGGTTGAGATCCCTCCCAACCTGCCTAGCTCCCTGGTGGAGCTCCGCATCCATGACAACCGCATCCGAAAGGTGCCCAAGGGTGTGTTCAGTGGGCTGCGCAACATGAACTGCATTGGTGAGTGTGGCCCTGGCTGGGGACAGTCCTCACTCCGGTGGCTGGCAGGGAGGGTCAGGGAGAGGGACCTCTTCAGGTCTCACAGGATGTTCTGGAGCCTTGTCTAGGGGTATGTCCTAGAGCCGCCAAAGCAAGGTGAAGAGAATCCATAGAGAGAGAGAAGGAAAAGGGCCAGTGCCACCAGACAGCTGGCCAAGGCCTGCCATGGGCTCTCCCTTGCACCCCCTGCCCCACGAGGCCGATGCCAGGACCCCTTAGGGGCTAGTGGTCTTGAAAAGCTACAAGTTTGCAATTTGCCCCATAAATTAGTGGCTGCTTTCAGCAGGAGAAAGGAGAGCAGGGAATTAGCAAGGTCTGTTAGGCCAGCCCAAGCCAGGAAGCCAACAGACCCTGGAGCATTCGGGCAGCAGTTCTGCTCTGGCTCTGGGGCTGAGGGGGCCTCTCTCCTAGAGATGGGTGGGAATCCCCTGGAAAACAGTGGCTTTGAACCTGGAGCCTTCGATGGCCTGAAGCTCAACTATCTTCGCATCTCTGAGGCCAAGCTCACCGGCATCCCCAAAGGTAGGAAGACCATACTTTCTTCCCATGGTGGGCAAAGCCGGGGGTCTAGAGCCTTCGGCAGCCCTCTCTCCACCACCCCGCCCCCCTCACAGCACCAGCCACACACTCCTGTATCCGTCTCAAAGTGCCCTTTCCCACCACCACCCCGCCCTGCCCCGGCAGACCTGCCTGAGACCCTGAATGAACTCCACCTGGACCACAACAAAATTCAGGCTATTGAGCTGGAGGATCTGCTCCGCTACTCCAAACTGTACAGGTGGGTTGGGGGACCAAGGTGGGTGGCCCACCCCACAGTCCTTTTCTCCTCTGGCCTCTCAGTACATCTCATCCATCCCTTTGCAGGCTGGGCCTGGGCCACAACCAGATCCGCATGATTGAGAATGGAAGCCTGAGTTTTCTGCCCACCCTGAGGGAGCTGCACTTGGACAATAACAAGCTGTCCAAGGTGCCTGCTGGCCTTCCGGATCTCAAGCTACTCCAGGTGAAAGCTGAGGGTGGGGGCAATCCCAGTACCAAGTTCTCTAAGACTGGGGGAGGGGCGCAGCCCATGTTTCCAGGGCAGTTCCTTGGCCCCCTGCCCCTCCTGGTGTGGGTCCCAGGTAGAGAGTGGAACCCCAAGTGGCAGCTGCATGGTCTGGCGGATTACTCCACCTCTGCCTCCTCACCTGGAAAGGAGCAGCTAGGGGGACCCCCCCTTCAGGGCCAATGGTCTGTGCTGAGGAAGAGGAGGAGGAGAGTAGGACAGCAAGGAGGGTAGGGCAGGGGTAGAGAGCAGTTGTAAGGGATGAATAGGAGGTGGCCTGGCAGATGCTGGTACTGAAAGTCTCCCAAGAGGGCAAGGCCTCAGAGGAGATCGGGGAACACTGAGGGCATGGGGATGTACAAATATGTGCCAAGACAGGGACAGCTCAGGGCAAGAAGTGGGCTGATGGGGGAGGGGGCGCGCAGGGTCTTGCCTGTTGTTGTCTCAAGGGGCCCTTCCTTGGCTTGGTTTCCAGTCACACTGGCAAACTTGGCCTTGCCCAGCCCTTCCCTGGTTCCCAGTCTCTTCCTCAGCCCCATTCACAAGTGCCAGGAGACCCGCTACTCCCACAAGGTATCCGGGCAAAGGCGAGTCCAACGGTGTCCTGTGAGCGGGACAGCCCAGCTGCAACAGCATCGCGGGCAATGCCGAGCTGAGTGCGCCCTCTAGTGGCCAGTTCATCTCCGCCTCTAGAGGGCGCTGTTGCAGATCAGCGTCTCCCCCGCCCTCCCATCACTGGGCTTCTCGCCCACTCACCCTCCTGTCCGCTCTGCCCCTACGCTAGAGAAGGGCTTCGGGGAGTTGGGGGAGGCTGATAGAGGGCAAGTGCCCCGGAGGCCTGGGAGGAAAAGGAAATCAACCTGAAGGTTCTTTCTCCTCTCATGTCCCTGGGCTCCTGGAATGAAAGGCTGAGATGGGCTGGCCAGGAGTTTGGCAAACCCAGAAGGAAGGCCAGGGGCTCTCTGTGAGCCCAAGGTGCCATCTTTCCTGCATGGACACCCCACCCCATCCCCTGACCCTCATGTGTCCTTCACCTCCTACTCACGACACACCCACCTGAGCCCTGATCATACACCCGCCTGACCACCATACTCAAGCCGTGGTTTGTTCATCCCAGTGGGAGAACTACATCTGGGCCCTCAAAGGGGTGTTTGGATGCAATGCAATGAAGTGATGTCCCCATGGCCACCAGGCCAGACTTGGAAAAGGTGGTTGAGGTGCCTGGGCCATTGGCACTGAAACTAGGCCATGCCCCTCTGTCCCAGGTTGTCTACCTACACACCAACAATATCACCAAGGTGGGCGTCAACGACTTCTGCCCCATAGGCTTCGGGGTCAAGCGGGCCTACTACAACGGCATCAGCCTCTTCAACAATCCTGTGCCTTACTGGGAGGTGCAGCCAGCCACCTTCCGCTGTGTGACTGACCGCCTGGCCATCCAATTTGGCAACTACAAAAAGTAGAGGCAGCAGCAGCCTTGTGGTGGCCTGGGCCAGGTCTCTGGGAAGCACGGGGAACGTCCTGAGGGGGTGGCAGAGCAAGGGAGCGAGGCCAGTGCCCAGCTGCACCCAACCCAGCCCCACCCTTTATCCCCAACCCCCACTCGCTGCCCCCTGACACCTCTGCCCTGACTCCCAAGTGTGCAGGTGGGGCACGAGGCCCAGACCTCATCACACGTCCCCTTAGCTTCAGAGCTGCCCCTCTCTATCATCATAGCCACTCAGAGGCGCCCCTGCCAAATTTTTTGCCATTTCACCCTGAAACCAAATTTTCCGAGGCTCCAGTACAAGGAAACCAGTCCCTGGGTCTGGGGGCAGAAGGAGACAAGCAGGGATGGAGACAGCAGATCCTATCGAACCCAGTGCACCTGGCTGGCGCACATTCCTCCACCACATGAACTTGCAGCTTCCAGCCCTCATTGACCTGGTCTGCTACCCTTGGTCTCAGATGGCCCCCCATCTTTATGCAAGTTCACAGCCCATCCATCCAAGCCTCCTCGCTCTACTGGCTCCTAAACCAGTCCTGTCCCTCTCTCTCTATCTCCCTTTCTTGTCCTCCCTCTTCCCTCTTAACGTCCTTCGGCTGGATCTGGTGTCTGCAATGAGAGGCCTTGCCCAGCCCCTACCCAGGCAAGCCAGTGGGTGAGGAGGCAGTTGCCCCCCACAGCTGCCTACTCTGCCCAGGCCTCTCACCCAAGCTTGGATGGTCCTGGAGGAGGCAGGTGGAGGTGCTGCACCCCGCACACACTCTAGTCAAGACCCTGGAAGTCAGGCCCCCAGGAGGGGCCCAACATCCCACTGAAGTCCCAAACACGCTTTTCATTGTCCCCCCCCTTCCCCCTTAATGGCTAGGTCCTCCCCCACCTCCCTTTCAGCCCCTGGTGCAGAGTTTCGAGCAATCACACCCAGCCTGAGGAGGGGCTGCTTCTGAGGTCGGTTGTTGTCTTTCAATTAAAGAAGCACTGTGCAATATGGCTCTGTGCGTCACCATTCTTGGGGTAGCACTGGGGACCGAGCAGAAAAGCGAGCCACCAAGGGGCTACCTCTGGTCAGCTCCCAGACTCTGCATCTCTGTGCCCCCTCCAAGCCTGGGGCTTTTTTCTCTTTGCTGCTTTCCCTGTGATCAGGTGAAGATCCTGGGAACCCCTCGGTATGAGACTGTGCAAGGAGACCCAGGCAACCAAGTGAAAGGCCACTGCCTGGCCCTTCCCCTCCCTTCCAGGCACTTCTTAGACCAGGTTCCTGAAGCAGACCCACCAAGGTAGCCTCTGCCATCCCAGTGCAGAGCACTAGGCTAGATCCCCCTCCCAGCCAAGGCAGGAAATCCTAGGGGACCCACTGACTGCCCCTCTTGGTGGATTCCTGTGTCAGCATCAGGGGGCACACTTCCGGCAGCATGCTGTGTGCTGTGTGCTGTGTGCTGTGTGCCCATCTGTGCTGACCTGGCCTGGGTTCCAGACACAAGCTCCACCCTGCAGGATGCACTGTGCGCCAACAGAGCCCAGCCCAGGTTTCAGTGTGCTGGTGCCAGCTCCCAAGAGAGGATCCAGAGCATAGCCTGGGAATCCTGCTCACTAGATACACAGGTCTGTCCTGGGAAGGGCAGTATGGGGGACAGTCCCCAGAGCAATGCCCCCTAAGATGGCATGCCCACAGGGCTGAGGTGGCGATGAGCTAGAACCTGGATGCTCTCCCTTGGTCCTACATGAGGTGCTTCACTGCCAGTGGTGGGAGCCAGGTGCTTCCCTGGGCAGCCACAGCCCACTCAAGAAAATGAATGGAGCAGGCAGGGCCCAATGTGACTGGCAGCCCAAGAGAAAAGGAGCCCGGAGAAATAGCACACTGCCTCGGAGTGCACAGCCACCTGTCCTCCCACCTGGCCCCGCACCGGGGTACCCAGTGTTCCCAGGTTCCTCCTTTTGGGGATGAATGGCACCCCTCACTGTGGCGGCCCAGCGATAGAATGTCACCCATCGGCATCATAGCACTATTCTGGGCCATGTGCTCCACAGCCCGGCAATCTCTGCTGAGCTGGGCAGGCTCAGGGCAAGGGCACTGGCCAAGGGCCAGGAGTCAGGGCCTCGGTCAAGTCCCCTCACTGGCCAGGAGGAGGGGCAGTCAGCACCTCAGCACTGGGGCCTGACAGAGTCGGAAACTTGGAGCCCTCAGGCTGTTTCTCTGTGGGAGGGTGTGGGGCACCTGACCAAGCTGTGCGGGACCAACACAGCCCCTCCCCCCGCGGGCCTCCCAGCCTTACTGCCATTTCCTGCCTCTCTGCCTCCCTCTCACTAGGGACACAGGTGACACAATAAGCTAGTGGGACAAGAGTGATAACACTGTTAGGTGCAGAGGAGATCCCTCTGACTGGACCCCAGGGAAGGTGTCCGGTAAGCCTGGTAAGTCACCCTTCACAGTAAGGGGCAGTGTCCTGAAGGCAGAACCCGTACTCGGCCCAGACCAGAAACTGTGAGGCACCCAGAGGAGTGTTAGGAGTTTAGGCTCACCCCTAAAGGGCTTGTGGGTTGTGGTTGGAGGGGAGGGTTCCACACCCAGCGCAGTTGGTCAAAGACTAATTGCTTAGCCTCACCCTGCTAGCAAGTGTGTTGCAAACTATTAGATGAATTATGATCATAAGAAGAAGGGGAATATGCATACAAAAGTTGAGATTGCTTGGGCTTAAAAGAAAACCCCACAGCAACATCAAGGTTACCCCTGCCGGCCAACAGCTCCCACGTACACTTTTACATCCACTTCACGACCTGCATGACTTCCGCCTAGTGGAGCTCAGGGCCCAGCTGCAGCCATGGGAACTCCAGAATGGCAGAGTTGCAGAAGGCTGGGATGAGCACGCTGAGCTGTAGGTGGTTGGGTGGGCTTAGGGAGGCCCAGTTAGAAAGCGCAGGGCGGGTGGGGAAAGGGCCAGGTTCCAGCCTGTTGGGCTGAGTAGGAGCCCCTGGACTTGGCGATAGATTGTTCATGGGGTGAGAGGAAGGGAGTGGGCGGGCGAGTGTGTGATGCCCTCATGGTCTGGGGCCCCTGGAGGAACGCACCGTGAGGGCTGAGAAGTCATGGGCATTCAGGTACAGCTCAGAGGGGGGGTCTGAGCCGGAGGGCGAGCTGGAGCCAGCACACATGCACGTGCTCCTGCACACACACACTCGGGGCAATGAAAGTCATGGGAACAGCTCCCTTAGGGAGGGCAATCCCGTGAAAGGGGAGGCCACCAAGGAACCAACTCTGAATGACATGAGGCTGGGGTGGGGGACATTTCCGAGTACTTATTACTGGTCAGGTGCCTTCTGGATGTGGCGGGGCTCAGCTGGAGACTAAGCCGAATCCATGGCTTAGGTTTAGACGAGCCAGGGCTTGTCGGAGGGGCGGCTGGCCAGGTGTCCCCAAGCCATGGCCAGGAATGGGGGCAGGGCACCTCAGAGGGACAACCCCTCCTTGAAAAGCCTTGAAGGGCAGTGGAGGGGCTGCTCTGAGCTCTTGAGGCGGACACTGTTCATCCACTGCTAGTGCCCCTGTGGCCTCTAGGCCCTGCCCCTGTGGGCTCCAGACTCTAGTCTTGGGCTCCACTGTGGACACGTGGGGCAAGGCACCATCGCCAGAGGTGGCACAGAGTCACTAAGGGGCCCCAGAACTTGATGCACACGGGCTGCTGGGGCACGGCATGTGTGTCCAGAGGCTGGAGCCACTCTGGCAAGAGAGAATTGTGCTCAAAGGACCACCTCCTGATAGCCATCCCGGAGCTGTTGGGAGAGACAACCCTGGCTTTCCAGAATCTCTGGGGTAGAGTCTATTGAGGCTCAGCATCTGGGAGGCCTGAGGGGAGGTCCAGGCTGGCATGAATTTCTTGGGGTGGCTGTATCAAAGGACTGCAAGCTGGTGGCTCTGAACCGAGATTGATTATCTCATGATTCTGAAGGCCACAAGTCCAAAATCAAGGTGTCATCAGGGCTGTGCTCCCTCTGAAGACACTAGGGAAGAGGGTCTTTCCTGCCTCTCCCAGCTTCTGGCGATTCCAGGTGTCCCTTGACTTGTGGCTGCCTCACTGCAGTCTTCCCCTCCATCTTCGTATGACCTGCTGTGTGTGTGTGTGTGTGTGTGTGTGTGTCTGTGTGTCTGTGTGTCTGTGTGTCTGTGTGTCTGTGTGAAATATCCTCCTGCCTCCCTTTTATAAGGATACTTGCTGTATTTAGGTCCTACCCAGATAATTCAGGATGATCTCTCCGTTTCAAGATCCTTATGTTAATCACACCTGCAAAGGCCCTCCTTCCAAAGGAGGTTCCAGTCTCATTCCAGGGATTAGGGACCTGCATACCTCTCCAGGGGCATTCAGTTTACCACCGAGCTACATGGCCCCCAAGGTCTTGGCAGGCGAGGTCTGTGAAGGAGGCCTCACAAAGACGAGAGGGGCCCTGGGGCCCCGCCAGAGGTTCTTCCATGGCCGGGCTTGGCTGAGGAATTGCTGTCCCTAGAGGAGGCCGTGAAAGCCACACCAAAATTGGCAGGAGGGAAACCAGGCAAGGGAGGAGGGGTGGCAGCTGCAGGCCCACAGAGAAGAGAGGCCTGGTGATAGGCGGTGGGGTAGCCCAAGGACCGAGGAGAGAAAGCATTCAGGGGGTGGGAGAAGAGGGCAAGGGCTGAAAAGGGCTGGAAGCAGGAGATGAGAGAGGGGTGATGAGCCAGTAGGCAAAGGGAGAGCGGGCTCCTTTTTCAGAGCGTGTGAGGGGCCACAGGCTGAGAGCAGGTTTCTTGTTCTTGGCTTTGTTTCTTAGGCTGAGAGCGCCAGAGAGGGGCAGGGGGACACAGTGGACTGGCAGCTGTTGACAATGTGCAAGTGAGGGGCAGGAGGGGCAAAGGACACGGTGGGGACAGGAATGGGACAGGGAGAAAGAGATGGGGGAGGATGTGGGGAAGCAGGGAGGTCTGGGCCACTAGGTGAAGCACCTTTCCCTGCCACACCCCCAGCTCCAGCTATGGGCCTCCCTGGGGTAGCTCCCAAAGTATTTCCAGTGCAGAAGACAGAGTCTGACCTAAGGAAGAACTTTCTAGAGAAGCTCTCCCCACCCACCTCTGTACAGATGGAGAAGCCATGAGGGGCTGGCCAGTGAGCAAGCAAGAGACATCAGTGACACACCAGAGGCTCCCTCACTCCCACCCCTGGGGACTGACTGAGTGCAACCTCAAAAAGGGGACCACCCCCTCTTCTGGTCCATTAGCTGCTTGGAGATTTCTGTTTGCTAGGGACTGAGGACTTCGATGACATTCTCTGACTGTCCTTTCAGAGCTCCTGAAAGCCACATATCTTGTTCTTTAGCCAGCTGACCTTGGCTTCAGTGGGCCTCATCACAGCGGCATGTGGCATAGCCAACTCTTACCTGGGCTAGACCTGGGAAGTGTCCCCAGGCTGGAGGAAAGACGAACAGGGGCATTGGTGGCTGATCCCTGCCTCAAACTTTCTCCCCTTCCCAATAAGAGGGAGCCTATGCTGAGCCCAGGAAGGGAGGGGCGGCATGTAACTTCCTCACCAAGGCAGCCGGCTCCCAGCTCTAGGAACAGGACAGACTTCACATGCTGGTGCTAATGCTGCCATGTGGACAGCAGCCATCAGTAAAATGAACATGCCCCCAGGGGCAATCAGGGATTGTGGGGGGGCAGGGGGACATCACCTCTCCTAGCCCATTAGCTGCTTGGGTCTCTGAGGGAAGGCAGTGACAGAGTCCCAAGGGAGTCTTCTCTCTCTTCTTCAGCCACTTTCAGGCCTGCACACGTGAGTCTCTCTCTCCCTTTCCCTCCCAGCTTCCATTTCTTCCTCACTCCCGTCCTCCCAGAGATGCCCACATACGTCTACTAGGAGGTGTTTGCTATTGGCCAGGATGCACCCTCTGCCCAAGGAAGCACCCTGCCCCTACCTCCTCTGACTCTGGAGCCAGGGCCCTCAGGTATGGCATGGAAGAATGTGCCCAAG